GAAGAACATAATACATGCATGTACCAGCAATCTGATTGATATAATAAGTAATTTTTGTGCCAATTTTGCGCGAAATAAGTTAGCGAATAATGTAGGATTCTGTCAGAAAGTGTTTCTATGTTGGCATCTTTTGTGCATGAAATTTGATGAAGTGGATCTCGGTACTCTGTATGCTGTAGTTAATATTGTTTGTAATTTTGTATGTAATGTGGTGCTATGTTTATCCGTGCCGGATACGGATATTCTAATTACTAGGAGAATATTTGTTTTGTGTATTTTAATTATGTTGTTTGGATAACGCTCCGTTATTATTATCTTTCAGATTCCGTACATAATTCTAGCGTTGTCAGACTTTTGGTTGGGTATTATTTATATGATTAGCCCACGTTAATCCTATGAATCTGGCTGATCTTGTGGTCTGGAGAAGTGTCCCATTCATATATCTTCTGGGTGAATCTCTTTTATATTTTGCCAGTACTACTAATTGATTTTTGACGGTATTCTTCAATTCTGTTTAACTGTGGTTACAAATTGGTTGTTGATACTGCTGCGCTTTTACAAACCACAACATCATCTGTAAATTGTGATGAATATCCATGATTTGGATCGTTTAGGAGCATATTACTGACATAAATAATGAATAGGATAGGGCTAACTACCCCTCCTTGGAGGTCTCTGGAGTAAAAGACTCCAAGAAGGTTCTCCCAACATTTACTTTGCATTTTCTGTTGGATAGCCAGCGAATAATGCCTCGCGGTAGTTCCATTTCAGACATACGGAACCATAGACCGTTGTGGCATACAGTGTGGAATGATTTCTCAATATCGAGAAAACATGCGACAGTGCATTGTTTCTTATTAAAACTATCTATTATCGATTCTGTGAGTCTAACTAAATGATATGTTGCTTGTATGAATCTATGGAATCCATTTTGGATTTTGGGTAATTTGGAAGTCAACTTCTAATTATTCGTTCTAAAAGTTTGGCTATATATCTGATCAGGCTGATCCTATATATCTGATCAGGCTGATCCTATACAGCTGGTCAGGCTGATCCTATACAACTGGCCAGGCTGATCCTATATATCTGGTCAGGCTGATCCTATATATATCTGGTCAGGCTGATCTTATATATCTGGTCAGGCTGATCCTATACAACTGGCCAGGCTGATCCTATATATCTGATCAGGCTGATCCTATACAGCTGGTCAGGCTGATCCTATACAACTGGCCAGGCTGATCCTATACAACTGGCCAGGCTGATCCTATATATCTGGTCAGGCTGATCCTATATATCTGGTCAGGCTGATCCTATATATCTGGTCAGGCTGATCCTATAT